CCCCAGAAATGAGCCCTGGGGAACACCACTTTGTAAAGGCATAAGGACTGTGGCTTCCCAATTCATTTCAGCAGATAAGGATTGTAAAAAAAAATGCTCATACAGGATTCTGAAAATTAAGTCTAAGTTCAATTCTCATGCTAGAAGATGAGGTGTATTTAGATCTTGACATCCAAGGCATTTAGATCTTGATACCGTTGTATCAGGAAAGCACAGATGATGGAAGGCTGTGAGCCACCCCATTTGAAAGTTTGCATGTTTTAGTGCTTGACTGTAAGTCTACATTAGTGAGCAGAGACATGAATAAGGACAGTAGAAAACAGAAGAATTAGATATGCAGGTGAAAGTTGAGCTTTGACTTCTGGTTTGTGGCCTCCTGTGACTTGAAAAAAAAATTTGATAATACCACCATTAGCTGCTGTACTTGACTTTCTCAGCCTATGCATTTTTAAGCAGTTTAATGCCTTGCTTCTGCTTTGTGATGCTACAAGCAGTGACAGAGACTATTTTGTGCTGTTATTTACATTATTAACAATGTAGGTTGGAGTCGCATTTCCAGTACCAGAATCAGAAGGCATGACTTACAAAGCGGTATCATGGTAATCCAAACCCTTGTCCTCCTCTGTCAACAATTGTCCAGTTTTCTTCTGAGATGATTGAATTTCTGCAAGATGTCATGTCAGTTAGGGTCTAAAGGAGAGTGAGGAGTCCAGTGTTTCATTGTAAAAAGCCTCCTACTAGTTTCTGAAAAAAAGTGCAACTTTTTAAAAAGTGCCAAATATATGGAGAAGTTGTGATGATAGTGAGTAAATTTTCATAGGAAATTACGATGAAAATATGCTAATTCAACCAGGTAGGATTTGGGGGGGAGGGATGTTTTGTTTTGCGTTTTTTTGTTGGTTTGGGGTTTTTTTTTTTACATAACTGTATACTCTATAAGAGCCTAACAGCATGAATATGCTTTTATCTTGTCTACTGAATGTATCAAAGAGGGGGATCGGGATGAAATAGCTGCAGTCCTAACCCACAGGATTAAAAATCAGGAAGTGTGTGATGTAGCTTTGCAACAGATTTCAAGTCACCTAATTTCAGTGCCTCTGGTTTTTCATCTAGAAAACACTGATCATGGTTGCTTACAGTATTTAATTAGCTGTTTATAAGGCAATTAGTAAATTTCATGATAAAATTTCTGGCAAGGTGCAAATTTTTTAAACCACTTGTGAGCTCCAGGGAGAAAGTTGAGAAGACGAGTGTAGGAAGAGTTAGAGTAAAATGAAACACAGAGGACATGGTTGGATATGGTTATACTTTACACTGGCTTAAACTGTTTAACAGCGCATTTACAATCATAGATGAAAGGATTTGTGTTGGGGAAGCTTAATTCATATTTTAAACCAATAAAAATGTGATCTGCCTAAAACCACAACTGTTTGGGGAAGTGCAACGTCAGAAGAATGATTGCTTTTCAACATTTGGTCACCTTCTAAGATATTTAGGACCTTACTAGATAAAATAAGTAAAATCATTTTCTCTAGAAAACAGAGAGCAAATCACAATGGGACCTTTTGCAGTCTGTCATTGTATGATGTATGTGAACAGGCACTAGCTAAGGAATAGACAATTATCATAGCAAAACCACTGAAGGCGTAAAAAGATGGGCATAAAACCCATGTAAACTAAAAAACATCATTTAGAAACCTATTTACGCATAATCTGAACCCAATTTTGAACATTACTGATATAGTAAAATCCAGAAATAGTCATGTGTATATTTTATGTACCTCAGAAAGGGATATTAAGTGTTTACGTGTTGTTCTTGCAGTAGTGTCAGTTCTCATTTTAGATTTCAGCAGACATCAAAAAAAGATCTTTTATAACTCCTACAGGGTACTGAATGCCACTCAAGTGGAAGGTAAGCAAGTGACAGTTTAGGTCAAGAAATAAAGGATGAAATATATAATCAAAATCACAATGAAAGCATGGATAGGCAGACAAGACATCAAGTCTAAGCACAACAAGAAGAAAAACTTGCAGATTCACCAAGACCAGAAGATTGAAAGTCTCAGTGAAATAAGATAATTAGAACTATTCAGGACACTAAAAGAAAGAAGGCGTATCAGTTCATATACATTGCCCTTGGGCTTGTCTTTAAGATCAACAAAATTAAGAGAACACCCAAAAATGGCATACAAATCATGACAGCATGCTAACACTAGAGCTGGGGCAACTGTTGGGGGCTTCTCATGGCTCCTGTCTGCCACAGTATGAATTGTGCACTGTTGGCTAGTTTTCTGGTTTTTGCTTGGAGTAGGTGGGCAAGGTTCAGCACCAGATCTAAAACAGCTGAGTGGAGAAATTCTGCCAAAGTCATAATGGCATGCCTCAAAACTTGTCTTGATCTGCCTGATGACTTTGAGTTACTTACCTTATGATATAAAACTTTTCTACATACCTGAACCTATGGCTCCATGTATGACTCCAGCTCCTGGTCCAATCTTGAAAAGGTGGTATTGTGACTGCTCGAGGATGCCTTGTTCCTGGACCCTCGTTGGGCATAGAGTATTTTCTAATGCTCCAAAAGATTTCATGCAGCAGGCATGCTCAGAATATGTGCAGATTGTGCTAAAACAGTGTTTGTGAAACGAGTTGCAGAAGACAAATCTGACTTTATGCATACCTACAAAATTGGTTATGTACAAAACACTGTAGCAAAAGCTTTATTTAAAAATGAGGAGTGTCAGTCGTAGCCCGTGAGATAGAGCATTTGGCTTGGAAAAGGTAGCATTCAGCAAAGCGACATTGTCTGCTTGACAGGAGTCAAACTTACAGCTAAGAGGTTTGTGGCCATGAATCCATAGACTGTTCTGGGGTGAA